GGAAAGCCATTAACGTGGGGAAAAGCACATTAGTGATGGATTAGCCACTGTGGGATAAATACAGGGATAAGTCTTGTGCTCATTGGAAAAATGCATACAAAATGACTTAAATCCTTCTCAAGGTGCACAAACTATTAGTTTGCAATTAAATATTTAATTTGAAGGAACACAAAGAACGCAGAAAAATGCGTGGAATTAAAAAAAATAAATAAAATGAACCCTGTGGAAATCTCTTGGCACTGAAACAGGTTATAATCTCAACACGCAACAACCTTACTGAACTGTTAATGACCAGTATGAACTCTGACGATAAACACCAAATATAATCTTTTATACAACAGTTAGTTCCGGCCACGCAAGCTGATTGGTTGAGAAGCGTTCTAACCGTGCTGTTATTTCACCATAACATCAGGGATTTTTCACAAACACTGAGACGCCGTTGCTAAGCAACGACTTTGACAGCTGTAGGAGACGCTCAAGACATTTGAACGTTTTTACTTCTTACTTTGCCACAAACAGAAAACGGACACTTTTAAGATCACATTTGACCGACAGCCGATTTAGTCAGACTCTGAAGATGAGACGACACTAAATTCCCAAACTGTCGTCACCACTGAGCAGCTTTTCAGTCGGCAGCTGAGACAGAAGAACAGCTAAACAACCTGGAATCAGCCAGAAATGAACCCAACACCATTCGCCAAACGTGTAGTCTGATCTTCAGAGTCTGATCAAATCAGACTGAGCCATAAAACTGCTGCAATATCAAGTTCAGCTCAGTTTTGTCAGTTTTTGCCAGATCAGTATTAACGTTGTTTTGTTCCAGCCAGTCTGTAAAGCATCTTACAGCCCATTTAGTTTGGCGAATGGTGTTGGGTTCATTTCTGGCTGATTCCAGGTTGTTCAGCTGTTCTTCTGTCTCAGCTGCCGACTGAAAAGCTGCTCAGTGGTGATGACAGTTTGGGAATTTAGTGTGAGGAGCTGGAGAACGAACTGCCGGCTGAGCAGCGAGCAGAGTTCGTTACTCTGACGTAGCAACAAGCTGCTCGTTAAGGAACTATAATTTGGTGAAGGAACTGCGAACATTAAAACATATTAAACGCCGCGTTCACAGCCCAGTTTATTAATTTATTACTGTATTTATTTAACTGTTGTATAAAAGCAACAGAACACTCAAGGTCATGTGTTATCGCCAATAACATCACGGCTGTAATGATCTACGACCAAATCGCAGCCGTGATGTTATTTCGCGATAACACACTCCCTCTCGGGTTCTACTGCTTAAATAACATCCTCTGGTAAAGCAACAGAAGGGGCAACAGCAGGCCACACAGGAGCTGAGTAACCTCTATGAGGAGTATTTCTCAGACCAATGCAGGACTGTCAGGATAAGTAATAGACCTCCCTCATGTCCCTCTCAACCGACATTACAGCTATCAGGGCCAGTGGGAACGATGAATAAAGAAGACCACAGAGATACGGCTCCTCGAAAGAGTGACAGAAACAAGCCCATCTTTCAGCAACTATGTCAGGAGCTTTGGGTCGCCTTTATGAGCATCGCTGACGTGTACAAAAGTTGCAGGCTTTTAAACCTCATCAGATTTTTTTTTAGAGTCTGTCATCACTTCTTACCCTGAGGCCGGTGGCCCACCGAAGGCCATCTCAGACCCTCCAAGGGACTTCTTGGGCCTTGCTCACTTGCTCAGCCATTCAGTCTGACTGCTACACTTTCTGTTGTCTCAACAGCTCATTCCCCAATTAGACTATGTACCAATTAGCAGTGTAGCCAAATCCATCCAAGGTCTTTCAGTGGGAAATGGGTTAACTGTCTACCTGACGATCAACAAAGGAGGTCGACTTCTTATAGTTATCATAGGTAACAAAAAAATAGGGGTGTAAATGCGACAATCTGAAGGCGTCAGCTGAACCGCATAGATTTTGGAATGTTAAAATGCACTTATTATTTGGCCAAAAAATTAAGTTCAGACTTTTATTTTTTAATGTAAAAAATAAAATGACAAAAAGCTTTGTTTTTTTTTATATGTCTGTATTACACTACTGGAAATTTCACAAAGCACTGAATGTAAAGATGGTATATTATTATCAAGGTTTACAGGTATGACTGTGTGTGTGTGTGTGTGTGTGTGTGTGTGTGTGTGTGTGTGTGATGGTAGGAATGCTTGTTTTATTTTATTTTATTTTCTACATGTTTGTCGGACACTGTGCACTGTGAGCTCCTGTAACTAAAACCAGATTCCTTGTATTTGTAAGCAAACCTGGCCAATAAAGCTCAATTCTGATCCTGATCTGCATTAACGTGTATCAGTGTTTGGCCGATATCAGCAGAAAATTCTGGAACGGGACATGAAAAAAACGGTATCATGCCGTCTCTGATTGATTCCTTTCTTCAAAAGCTGTAATCAAATCATTTTTTTTTTATCAGATCAAGTACATATTTTAGTACTCCAATACCATACTGAGTAACGTACTTAAAACTAAGTTGTTGATGTAAATGAGTGCAATATACCTTAAAAATTAGATCAATAAAAACTATCTGCTTTTTAAATGAAGCACATTAGCTACCTATGCTACAGTAGTTACCTTGAATCAAGCATGTTTTGCTTCACATCAAAAAAAGTCTTTATGTACAGCTGTATGTAAAGTACATTTAATAGTTTTGCTCCTCACGTCTCTTTCAACAACAGTCTCTGTAGCACAGCGACAGCACAAATCACATTGAAGTTTCCAACTGACACGCTTCGTCAAACGCAGCCCTTACAGAACAGCCGTCTATGGACATTATCAATAAAGCTGTTTCTTTCCAAATAACACACTGCGCACCCGAGCACTGAGCAGAAATACTGAGAACCTGAGCTACAGAAACCCAGCTAACCACACTGTGCACTAAAACATACATGGTAGGAAATACAGTCTCTCTACAGCCTATTTTGCATACACTGTTAGAAACAAAGATACTGTGCAAGGTACAAACAATGTAAAAGCACCCTTAAAAGGTACAACTGTGGTCATTGGTGTCACATGGTACCAGCTGGTGTCGGACACTGAGTAAATGGAGGAGAAAATTCAGCAGCACAACAATTAGCAGCAAGCAGAGGAATTCATCAGTTTATCAATTTATATTTATTATATATATATATATATATATATATATATATATATATATATATATATATATATATATATATATATATATGTATGGAAGAACTTCCATTTCATCCAATGTGAAAACTACCAGTGTTCTTTGGATTTAATAATAATAAGAGGCACATCGTTCACTGAGGAGAAAAGAGCCTTTGTAAGGCGACAAGTCCTCATCATCCAGTGTAGCGGACTTGTCATCTTACACAAGGTCTTTTCTCCTCAGTAGACGATGTGCCAATATGATCAGTTAACCTAAATAACAATAATCTTCCTTCTCAATCACGTCCTTGGCAACCCAATCAGGAGTGACAAAGGATAATATACACACTTGCTGAAAAATATGAGCATTAAAACAAACGCAGTGTTTCACTGAATTGTAAGTCTTATTGCAGAGTTTCAATAAACCGTTTGTGTTAAAATACTGGCACCTCAAATGGCTAACCGAGTACCAGTGCACATGGCGCGTGCGTGGCTGCCACAAAACGGACGGAAAACCTATTACCAGAAATTAATTTTTAAAAATGGCAAACATCATCTACAGCACCTTCATTAAAATGTCTGATAGGCACACTAAGCCTAGTTGATCAGCCCATCGCATCCTCTGAAAAGTTAAGCCACTAAAGCCAAGATAGACAAAACAGTTCAAAGCTGTCTACACTCCACAAATACAGCTCTCTTTGGGCCGTTCTGACAGGCTGGGCTAACCCTGACATTGCGCTTTCTTCACTCTCCCCCTAAATCTGTTCCGACAGTCCCCGGCGGGCAACGGCCTAAACTCTGCTCTCCTTTACCTCAATCACCTGGACGCACGTCTCTCCATCTCCAGCCACCAATTATCCGCCCAAATATCATAATTTATTCAAGCCACTTGAAAAGACAGAGACGCCTGATGCAGCAATTCTACAAGGCTTCTGGTTCATTAAGAGAGCTCATCAAAAATGCACAGGAGACAGGCGTAAGGCCACACACACACACACACACACACACACACACACACACACACACACACACAAAAAGAGCAAGGTAAACACTTCTCAAGGAAGTGCTGCATTAAGGTGGCACTAAGAGCTGACATTTTGAGTTGCCTTCCAATAACACAAGGCTGAAAAGCAACATGTCATCTACAAGGTTTGCTCGCTGTATGGCGGGGGTGTCAAACTCAACCAGTGAAAGAGCCATATTAAAAAAGCTCATCAAATCTGTGGGCCAGAGAAAAAAAAAATATATTTAATTTTAATTAATGCTGTGCTATAACCTGAACTGGCCACTGTTTACTTCAAATATGCAAAAACTTCATCAGTAAAATACAGACACTTGTAGCAGACCTTGAAATATTACATGGACTCTTGAAATATTTAAAGTTTAAATGTCTCCAGGTGCTCAGTCTTTCAAAACCTACCTATTTGCTTAAACTAGACAACTGGCATCCTTTCTTTGGCTCAGTGTCTGAGCTGCTGAGCTGAGGTTAAGTGCTTATGTTGGTTGGACTGCAGCTGAAATGCATTTTGGTGATATGACTGATGTGGAATTGCACAAAATTGTGCAGAACTGAGGTGTAACCTCTGTCCCATAGACTGCTGTTGGGGTAGGAGAGTTGGAGCACTTTACGTGGCAGTGCATGCTGGAGACTGTAGTGCAGAACATCGTGAATATGTAATATTAATAGAAAATTAAAATACTCTTGCAGGCCGGATAGGATTGTGTGGTGGGCCTGATCTTGGCCGCTGGCCTTGTGTTTGACACATGGGCTCTACGGTCACTTAAAGCTCGCAGTTTTTAGTCAAGGGTCGCCTAATAGTGTCCTTTAAGAGTGTAAATTATACAATGGGAAGTGAACTTACTTCATGATGTATTTGGCCCTGTCCACAGTCTGGGCCTTCACCTTCACCAGTAACGGGTGGTTGCTATATGTCTCATTTTTCCACTGCCCATAGAGTCGATACCTGAGGACCAACAGAACATGGACACATTTGTAAGGAGGCGAGAAGACCTTTTCAAACTGCTGTGACTCACTTTTTACAGAGAATTAATTACTCAGCATATTATAGGTAGATATCACATTACTCAGCATGCTCACAAATTCAACTCACTGTGTGGGAATCTAAGGCCCAATCCCATTTCTTATTTTCACCCCTAACCCTTGTTTTCAAGTGTTGCCCCTTGGAACTGAGCTACAGGGTAGTGGTTGAAATTTTCCCTCTGAAATGGGACCCTCAAATAAAAAGAGCATCACTTCATTAACAGCTACCAGCGCTGCTCTGTAGGCGACCCTGCCAGTCTGCAGTGACAGCAGAGGAGGGTAAAGTTCAGCTCCTCACTGCTGGGCTTTAGTTACATTTAGGGCATCATATGATCTTCAAAGAGGGGGGCAATTATTTATTATCACCACCCCTAATTCTTCAGTGATATGAAGCTGAAGTCAGATATCCGCCAGCTTCTTGTTCGAATTTTCCCGTTCCACCTTAAATGGAGCAGCAGTTACATTCTGGCGCTGCAGACGTCAGAACTGCTGGACTATTTAAGGTGGGACGGGAAATTTAGTTAGCTAGCTACTGAGACATTAGCATGCTATTAGTGATTTATGCTTGTTATGAAGAAAAGGACCAAAATACACTGAAACGACACTAAACTAAGCTAATACAGTGGTTGTTGCATTTTTTAAACAGAGAATTCTCACATTTGGTCTCTTCGCCGCCACCTTGCTGGTTTTTCTTTATTCTAACACTCTGTTTGGAGACTCTGAAAAACCTCAGTTCGGAGGCTTCGCCCTACCCATCTTTCTCAACAAGAATCAGGACACCCTACCCCGAGATGAGAAAGCGCAAAACAGATGGCTAAGAGCTAAGTGGTAGGGGCAAGGGGTGAAATGGGATTGAGCCTAAGTGTCTTGCATGAAGCTTGCACGAAAAATATTAATAAAGGAACTGGCAGTAAATGAGACCCAACACTGGGGACCATTACTGTGGTACTGTTTAGGTGAGCTATATTAACTGCATTCGGTCATCTCACGCAACTGCTTTGTATAAAACTAAAGGTACCAACATGTTTAATATCATATATGCTGCTCTTATTAGGAGGCTGTGAGACAACGTGGATACGGTAATCTTTCTAATTTGTTCAAAATAATGATAGAATATTAAATCATGAGCCCAGCACCACGAATCTGAGCACAAGCTGAGCATATCGTTACGCCATTATTAACAGCTGTTAAAGTTTTACTAAATACCACACAAAAGCAGCAAACCAAACCAAAGTAGCATCTATATTTATCTAGCTATTCCATGGAGGAGATATGATGCAGGTCAAGCACCATCTGCATTGGCAGTACCTGTACTGGTAGGGGAAGAGCTTGAAGAAACCCCAGAGCTCCTCAGACATGCAGGCGTTGCACTCCATAAGCGTGAGGGAGGGCAGCAGCACCTGATCGGCAATACTGAGAAAACAGCTGAGCAAGGAGTCCTAAGAGACAAAATGCACACAAAAAAAAAAACAAAAAACAAAAAAGAGAGATTAGGAAAAAACAAAGAGGGAAAGATACAGCAACAGAAAGATGATGAAAGCTAGTAATGATCATCCCACCAAGGGAGCTTAATATATAAATCTGCTCATTGTGCCTTCATACTTCACGGCTTTCGAAGAGAGTCAGCTTTACTTGCAGCTGTACATAAACTGCATGGAAAAAAGCAACACTGGGTTTTTTTATTCAGAATGCTAAGTTTTTATTTAGAGAAGACTTTATGGATGCACTTTCAGCAAAAACAGGATCATGGTTGAATGGCGATGTATTGTTTTCACAAATAACCTTTACGCACTGTGTATTTTTATAATAGCCAAAATATGCACTGTGGCTTTTATGTTTCCAGTATCAACAGATACTACTCTGAAGATATCTATCTCACACAGTCATGCGCTTCCCGCAAGTGCAGACAAAAACAAGAGCAATAATATCACAGACTCTTTAAACCAGCACATACAGATACTGTCTGATCATAGTGTGTTAAACTGTTAGAACGCAAGAGCTGTAATCACTTTCCCCCATGTAAATAAATCACTAGCTACGTTTACATGCAGCATAATAATCCGTTAATAATCCACAGCTCCATCGGAATAGAATACGTCCATGTATACACCTTAACTGGAACAGAATAGTCCAAAGGAGGCCATTCGGAATACAGTTTCTATCCGACTGATCGAGGTGGGTAATCCTGTAAATAATCCGTTAAATAGAAGAATAATATCCGTGTAAACGCCTGTATCTGATTACATTCCCTATCGGAAAGTTTAAGTCCGTTCTGATCATGTTTGTCGCGTCATAGTGAGAGTTTATACCGTTCAACATGGCGGAGCAGAAACTGGTCTGCAGAGGAGACGAAGTTTATGCTCTGGTCTTTAAAAGACGGCGGTGGGACGGACGTCCAGCTTATGTGTCTCAGAACACGACGTCTTCCTCTCGGCCTTCTTTAATAAGGACATGTGAAGGACGTTTTCCTGAGTCTGACATCATTTTAAAGCAGTTAAAAACACAAGCGCTGCTCACTGCTGCTCATCTCACTCTGACTGGACTCACGTGATGCTGGTTGTCATGGTAACGTCTACACTAAGTGGTTCTCTATGCATGCGCATCATTTTGGATCTGATTGCTTGTAGTGAGCATGTAAATGGAGATTTTCCATCAGATTGTTGAGTAGAGTGAAAATGTTTGAATTCTGTTTGAATCTATAATCGGAAAATATTCAATCGGATTGGCAAACGTTTTTGCATGTAAACACAGACACTGTAATAATGAACACATACAAGGTTACAAAAATTAGTTTTTCTTCCAACTTCACTCAAAAGGCTTGTGCTGCCTTCGTTGCTCCGCTGCACTTTTTCACTCTTTCATGACTCACCATTTTGTCCTTGGCGTCTTGCTTGCTTTCACTTTGGTACTATGAGGCAGAGAGGCAGGGTGAGAGAGAGAGGGGAGAGACAGAGAGAGAGAAAGAGAGAGATCATTCAAATGCAGATCAATACCGGCTTACAGCACTACATCCCACTGAGACTGCAGACTTATACGAAAGCAGACCACTTCCTACACTGGAACAACCCTAATCATACAGAGCAGAGCTGATCTTCACATTGCAAGGCCGATGCCTTCATCAGACGTTTTCTGAAGCAGATTTTATGTGCCAACCTTTAATCCTCCTCGTATTCTTATATACATACACCATCAGGCATAACATCATGGCCACCTCCTTGTTTCTACGCTCATTGTCCATTTTATCAGCTCCACTTACTATATAGGTGCACTTTGTAGTTCTACAATTACAGACTGTAGTCCATCTGTTTCTCTGATACTTTGTTAGCCCCCTTTTACCCTGTTCTTCAGTGGTCAGGACCCGCATGGACCCTCACAGAGCAGGTACTATGTGGGTGGTGGATCATTCTCAGCACTGCAGTAACACTGACGTGGTGGTGTTGTGTTACTGTGTGTTGCGCTGGTCTGAGTGGATCAGACAAAGCAGTGCTGCTGGAGTTTTTAAACACTGTGTCCACTCACTGTCCACTCTATTACACACTCCTGCCTTGTCAGTCCACCTTGTAGATGTAAAGTCAGAGACGATAGCTCATCTGCTGCTGCACAGTTTGTGTTGGTCATTCTCTGGTCCTTCATCAGTGGTCACAGGACGCTGTTGGCTGGATATTTTTGGTTGGTGGACTATTCTCAGTCCAGCAGTGACACTGAGGTGTTTAAAAACTCCAGCAGCACTGCTGTGTCTGATCCACTTGTACCAGCGCAACACACAGTAACACAACACCACCACGTCAGTGTTACTGCAGTGCTGAGAATGATCCACCACCCACATAGTACCTGCTCTGTGAGGGTCCATGCGGGTCCTGACCACTGAAGAACAGGGTAAAAGGGGGCTAACAAAGTATCAGAGAAACAGATGGACTACAGTCTGTAATTGTAGAACTACAAAGTGCACCTATATAGTAAGTGGAGCTGATAAAATGGACAATGAGTGTAGAAACAAGGAGGTGGTCAGAATGTTATGCCTGATCGGTGTAAGCCTAGAATTTGAGGAGAGGTGGTCATAAATTGGCATTAAAGGACTCCATTTCATGACTTCCTTTGAGTATCTTCAGTCACGGGAGGTAGATTTATAGAGCGAAAAGCCTTGTCGTGTAACTCCTGTTGTACCTGTGCGATAAGAATATGCTAAACAAGAACAGCTATATGCACATGTGACTCTGTAAACAATTAATGGAGCCATTAGTGCGTCAGAGCATTGCGATTAGAACGAGAGCACAGTGACAATGAGGGGGAATGCAGGTAAACACACGCAGCTGTCATAACACCGGCTCCGGCAATAAATTAGTAACGCCGCTATTACCGAAAACAAAATTAACCCCAAATTAGACATCGTTACACAGTGTTACATATTAATGTTGGTAAATGAAGCATTTCGGGAGGCTTAATAACAGGACCAGCGATATGAGTGGTATCACAGGAAACATAATGGCAGGGCTGATACTAGGGTCATCATGATTAATTGATTAAACCTAATTAGTCCAAAAAAGTACTGATTAAAACTTACCTTCGAGTGAATTAGGAGGAGTTGAAAATTTGCATATCAATGCATATTTATTCCTATCCTGACAAACTATTTGTACGCATTTCTTAAAGCGCTTCCTATTTTTTTAAGCCCTTTAAAGCTTTCCTAGTTTATCTTTCACAATCTTTACAAGGCTGTGCATGGTCTCATTGCTCCATTAAGTCGATTTCCACTGTCTGACCTTTTTGAAAAGCCAATTACTGGACTTATCATCAAAATCAGTAGATTACGCAATTATTAACACAATCAATAGTAACAGCCTTAGCTGATGTGGTTTAACTATATTTGCACAGAAAATAAACAGTCATTCAGAAGGGTTTAACGTGAAATGGTGCATTGGAGAAAAACGTACTGAGACAGATACCTTCACAGTGGTGATGACAGGAACAATATATTAGAAACAACTATATATAGCAATTTTATTTATAATCCAAGACAACCAGTGAACCCACACGTGTGTCTTTTTCTACGTTAATAATGTTTACACAGATTTCTTTTATGTAGCTTTTTGAGGCTTTTTAAACTCAGACATCTGGTTCCTATCGACACCACTGCGAACAAGATGCTCTAAAACATTTCAAATCAAAACACTGTTTACATATAAACTTATTTTAAACATGAAGATATTTTGATAAAACAGTGGAATTCCCCTTTACGTGTTAAAATGTATATTTTAGAAGATATTAACTGCATTAATCAAATTTTAGCAACCTATTCTGTTTCATTTACATCTGATTTGTGAAGAACATGGACTAAAAATAAAAGCTTGAAATGTTTGAGATTTTTACTTTGTTTTTTACTTTGTATATTGAATGAGAGACCAAACCATGTGAGGCCATGACAAACAGTGAGTGGACATGCACGCTCTAGCTCAGATCTGAGCAACTCCGGTCCTGTAAATATCCCACATTACAATGTTCTGTGCTCTAACTCACCCGGTTCAACCTCAAGAGCGTTAAGATTAACTGATGAGTGGAATAAATCTTCTCAGAGCAGCAGAACACTGAAGTGTGCACCTAAGCGGCTTTTCAGCACTGAAGACTTCTGTAAAACTCTTCACCAATTCTTGTGCTCACCTCTTTCATGAAGCTCTTTCCCAGACGCACGATCTTGGCGAAGAGGATAGGGTCATGGGAGAGGTGCGGGCCCAGGTAGCCCAGCATCGTGAAGACATCCTTGGAAAGGTCCTCAAAGGTCTCCACCGGAGACGGAGCTTGCCTGCTCCGCAGAGGCTTCAGCAGGCTGCCTTTGGCACCCTTAGGGACCCCAGCCCTACAAAACACAACAGCGGGTCACAGAACTGTAAGGAGTGCTGATTGTGCAGTTTCAACGCTGCCTTAGAGAGAAATCGAAGTTCAACCAGCTTTCTAAGCCTTCGCCCGTTGAATTCAAGGCCGTGAGGGAGGACGGATCCATCGATTTGAAAATGCTGATGCAGGAACTGTGATTTAACATTATGACTATCTGGACACGGCTAGATTGATCCTTGCTCAATGTTTTTACACCTGACTCATGCGGACAGCATTTAAACAAAATGTATTATTCTGTACATTTTAAATACGTTTTGATCGAGCATGTGGTGTAGAACTGCAGAGATTTCTGGAACACAATAAGCCAACAGTGAACGAAGCATCTTCTATTAAGCTAAATGGCTAAATCTAAGTGGAGCTGTTTACACAATAAGGACTATATCAAGGCACGTCAACACCTTCAGTTCATGCCTGAGACAAAAGGACAGTCGTGATGTTTTTGCGACATTACACAACCTCAAATATTCCACTGCTTTTGTACAACAGATGTGCAAAATGAAGAAATAAAGGAAAACAAAGAAGGCCCTAACAGTGCATCAGATGTACTTTTATATAAATAATTCCTTTTGCCAAAAAAGTATTTAAAGCAGCCATAAAACTGAAACAATATTAGCTTTTCCAATACTTGACAGTTTAACCTGAATGGAGTTTTATTTCCAGTCTGCAAAGCAATTTTATAGCCCAGCGCGTTTGTTGAATCGTATTCTGTTTGTTTTTCGCCAATTCTAGTTTGTTTAGTTGTTCCGCCGTCACAGCTGCCGAGCAAAGACATACTAAGAGCAACACTGGAATCTGATGCAGGCCTGATGTTATACTCTTCTTCAGAATCTGACCACACGGGTTACAGGTCTGATATTATCTAATAGATATGTACTGCATCCATTTATTGTTTTTGTATGTGGTAAAGAAATGTAGTAAAGATTACCTGGAAGCAACTTGTTACTTAGCAATCGGTATGATAGTTATTATAGAAAAACATGCAATTGTCAGAAATAACAATAATAATAATAAATTTAGATTCGTCAGACCACAGGATCCTTTCCCACTTCACCTCAGTCCACCTTGCATGAGCTCGGGCCCAGAGAAGGTGGCAGTGTTTCTGGATCCTGTTTATATTTGGTTTCTTCTTTGCATGGTAGAGTTTTAACTTTTAGTATTTGTGTCACAGACAGTGGTTTTCTGAAATGTTTCTGAGCCCATGCAATGATTTCCACTACAGATCCATTTCTGTTTTTAATGCAGTGCTGCCTGAGGGCCCAAAGGTCACGGCCAGCCAACGTTGGTTTTCAGCCTTGACCTTCGCATACAGAGTTTTTTCCGGATTATCAGAATCTTTTAATGATAAGCACTGTAGGTGAGGAGTTATTTGCTATTTTACATTGAGAAAACATTACTCTTGGATTATACACACTATTTGGCTGTGCAGTCTTTCACTGAGTGACGAACCACTCCCCATCTTTACTTCTTAAAGACTCCTGTCTGTTTGTTTTTATTTTTTATTTTATTTACATTATGCACAAATGTGGTTGTAATTCTACACACAGTTAGCATCAATTTATGATTTTTTTATGATTATTTTAAAGTACATGTATAACCACTTTCAAAAATGATATTGGAATATACACCAAATCATCCACTTCATTAAGTTCACCTACCTTGACACTCATTTTATTTAATCTACATATCATCAGAGCACTCGTCTACAGTTACAGACTGTAGTCCATCTGTTTCTCTGCATACTTGGTTAACACCCTTTCACCCTGTTCTTGGTCAGGTCCCCCACAGGAACACCACAGAGCAGCTATTATTAAAGTGGGGGATCTTTCTCAGCACTGAAGTGACACTGGCATGTTGGTGGCAACGTGTTAGGGTGTGTTGTGCTGGTACGAGTGGATCAGACACAGCAGTGCTACCTCATAGGTGTAAAGTCAGAGACAACAGCTCACCTGCTGCTGCTATATTTATTAAATTTTTAAATATTTTTGTTTGGAAGACTATTCAGACCAGCAGTGACAAAGGGGGGTTTAAACTGCCAGCAGCACGACTGTGTCTGATCCACTCGCACCAGCACAACACACAATAACACACCACCACGTCAGCGTTACTGCAGCGCTGAGAATGATCCACCACCCAAATAATACCTGCTCTGTGGTCGTCCTGAACACTGAAACATGCACCACTGAAACATGAATCACCTGTTATGTTACCTTCACACAAACAAATGCCAAACTTTCCGTCTTCGTAACACACCTGTGTTGCGGTTCCAGCACTAAAGCCATGATAACGTATTACATCTGCAAGTGTGCAGTTCTGTGCATTTGTACCTGCGGTAGAGAGGCTCCACGATGAGATGCAGCAGTTGGCACAGTGCTATGGCTATGGCCTTGTGGGAGGTGGCATAGTAGGCTGGCATCTGCTCCATGATGCTCTGAGCATGCTGCCAGTCGCCGATCCTCAGCAGCGCCTCCAGCAGGCCTAGCTTCTGGTTATCGGGAGGCTGGAAAGAAGGGGATGAATGAAGACAGAGGTGAGGGGAGGGGCGATACACCTTCACATATGGTACACTGGGCTACAGCAGAGCCCGGAACATATGGAGGGCCTAATCATTTATTTAATCATTAGATGCTTTTCCAGTCATTATTTACTTTGGCTAAAACAGAGCAGCAGGCTGTGAGCATCCTTCGGCACAGATCTGCACAAGTCAACTCAGACCTCGTTTAAACTTGGCATTAACGTTCAGTAACAAACTTGGCATCAACACCAGTGATCCAGTCATCACCTGCATACTTTGTAGGTCTACATTTGCAAAGGAGGCTACTGCATCCAGATTAGGGTCCAACAAACATGAACATTTTGTGACCAGGGTTAAAATTAATGATTAAAAATTACGATAGCTGAGAATATCTGCCAATATATATTTTATTTATATCATATAGTCCAAGGGTTTTAGTTAAATATGACTGGTTGTTAAGCCTCTTATTCTCCAGAGCATATTTTGTTTTTTTCCATCTGAATTTACATTCCCACATCTTAAGGCAAATTATTTGTGCATGAAATAAATATAAAAAGTTATTTTTTTTGTAAAAGGTCTCCTCAAATTAACAGAAAATGCGTTTAATGATCATAAACATAATACCATATGATTACAATTTACTGCTGAAAGCCAAAAATCTTAGATGCTCTTTGTATTTTTTTATAAAAATAATTTTTCAGTGAAGAGACACCATCTGAGATCCAGTTTATAGCTCAGATTTGTGGAAAAATGGTAGAAAAAAATGTAAATGTAATGTGAGTTCAGCTTCTTTTATTATAAGTTTTAAAATTACATTACTCATCTATTTCCTGGAAAGAAGACAGTTACAGCTCTCATACGACCCCCACCTTTTGAATGCAGCTTATGAAATATCAAAGTTATTAAGTAAAGAATATAAAGAACTTCATTTTTGGAACCACCGGTGGTTCCGCAGAGTTAAAAAGGTTAAATACGGTTAAATACAAACATTAACTGCGTCCAAAGCTGAGGCTGCAGTCTAAGTAGAGAGGGTCCTCGGTAGGATTGTCATATGAAGACACCTCCCTAGTAGTCTATTGGTCACACAAATGGATCAGTCCTAACGAGGCCACGTGGTGACGCCACCAGAGCGGCGCCAAACTCGTGAGGGAACTGGCGAGAGAAAACGGAGCCACTGCATTGAATTTGTTGCTTTTTCATTTCATAGAAATGGAGATTATCTTATGTAGTACAATAAACTACATATACAAATACTTCTAAATACAATACGACATACGGACAATATACGACCTACTGACGAATGCTTTAATTAATAAGTGATTTTACCCTTTATAAGGTAACGAAGATGAATCCAAGGACGTGAATAAATTTTTTTTTTTCCCTTAGCGTCGGTCGTGCTCAGAGAACAGTGGGTAACCAGAGGCCTGGAAGGAGACATCTGATGTGTCCTTGAAATCACTCGGACCGTAGGCTGCATTTCCAGGCTGTATACGAAGGGTTCTTCACTTTGGAACGAGCTGCTATGACAGAGAGGCCAAGAAATGCAGCTTCCCTCAGCTTTGGAACACAGCTATCGCAGCACTGGGCGCAGGACTACCCAGAATTCACTGCGCTTGTGTTTTTTGTTAACTATCTCTGATTTTTCTTTTTTTCTAACAGTTTTCTTCGTAGAAAAAATTGTGTCATAACATGTTGCTCTTGCGCAAAGGTTTAACTTTTTAAAGTTAATTTTGTGAAATATGCAGATCATTTTCTCCAAAGTAATTCAACAACATCAGATTTGCTCTCTGGTGGAAATACCTGGACTATAACTAATATGGACACTAGAACTTAATTACCCTAGATTTACACTTGCGACTGCTTAGGCAGTGGGGAAACTTTAGATATTGCACACCACAGTTAGAACAGCTCACAAATAATATGAATATATCTGAGTACAACTTTTGAGCATTTAAATATCTGAATGGACCTAAAGGTCTATCGATAACGTGACTGATCGTTGTGTTCATACAGGGTTAAATTCTCAGTGCAGCAATATTGGTGCATCGTACAGCACCGCTTAGAATACGTAAGTTATGAGCAGAGCTGGCTCCATCGTTTTAGATTAAACACGGATTTAATCACAATGCTTGACTACCCTGGGAAAACTAGATCCAAACACACTCCAAATCACACACAGGATTACACCTGTCTTTTAAACACATATACAGGCAACATCCAGATACGGGACGCATTTTAATACTAAGCCTAAACAGGATCCTCTTACTCTCCCAAGCTCAAACACATAGTACATGCACCCACACTCTCATACAGTAGCGAGCCTACTTCGGCACGAGGGAATCGCAGCTAAATAAACTCGATCGAAGCCATTATTCATCAATTCCTGTGAGGCAAAAGGCCAATCTATTCTAAACACACTACACAGCCCCGGGGCGCGGGGACAAGAGTGGAAATGGCCTCGACCCACCACAGAACACCAATTAGCTTCAGCAAAGAGCCGGTTCAAATTTGCCGCAGACACTGATTACACGACTCGGGCCCGTTCCTTCACTGCTTATTAAACATAATGCTCACGCTACACACTGCGTGGGCCCTTCAGGCGCTCCGAGACCGCGCATGTGTTAATGGGAGTTTAAGCACATGTCGGCCTTGTCTCTGCTGTGTGACAAGGTACCGGGCAGCACCGATGGGACTGCTCAAAAATCTGCATGCACCGTCCTGCCATCAGTCGGAGCTGTGCAGGTTTGACTGATGAAGCTCAAGCAGAGGAATGTGAAGAGCAGAGTAACCGGTGCCTTCAGACTACCTGCCTGAAGTGCCATTTAATTAAGGGAGTAGTTAGGCACTCAAAATCGCGAAGCTGGACTGGTCAAGTCAAGTCAAATTTATTTGTATAGTGCTTTTTACAACTGATGTCACAAAGCAGCTTCACAGAAATCCATTAAGGACAAAGTTTTAACATGAAATGTAAATCCTCCAGGTGAGCAAGCCAGGGGCGACAGTGGCAAGGAAAAACTCCCTCAGAGCTGAGGAAGAAACCTTAGGAGGAACCAAGGATCACAAGGGGGGACCCATCCTCCTCTGGTCAAACTACCTACAAAATTATTATACTACCAATATTAATAGTAGTAGTAGTAGTAGTAGTATGTGATCCCCTGACTGGTGTCTTCAGGACATGTGGTAGATTTGTTACCACTAAAACCTCCCATACAGGGGATCACACTGGTCACACAAACTCATATGGGGTATTATACAACAGTTAGTTCCGGCTACGCGAGCTGAAAAACGCTGCATCACTCCGCTGAGACGCTGTTGCTAAGCAACGACTTTGACAGCTGTAGGAGACGCTCAAGACATTTGAACGTTTTTACTTCTTACTTTGCCACAAACAGAAAATGGACACTTTTAAGATCACATTTGACCGACAGCCGATTTGGTCAGACTCTGAAGATGAGACGACACTAAATTCCCAAACTGTCGTCACCACTGAGCAGCTTTTCAGTCGGCAGCTGTGACAGAAGAACAGCTAAACAACCTGGAATCAGCCAGAAATGAACCCAACACCATTCGCCAAACTAAACGGGCTGTAAGATGCTTTACAGACTGGCTGGAACAAAACAACGTTAATACTGATCTGGAAAAACTGACAAAACTGAGCTGAACTTGATATTGCGGCAGTTTTATGGCTCAGTCTGTACTTCAGAAGGCGAGGGTTACAGCAGACTGAGCAGCGAGTGAGCGTGCGCCATCATACAGTGTTACTATGGCAGCAGCGCCAAACAGAAGTTAAAGCCTGTAAACGGTGGAAAAGCAACACATTTGACCCTTTTCACCTTCGTCTCGCTCTAATAATGAAGCTGAGAGCTGATCAGAGTTAATTATCTTCTCAGCGAAGCTCGTTCTGCTCGTTAGTTTGTGCTGATGATGCCTGTGATTCATTCACGTGACGTTACTGAGTAGGATGTGCTCATACGGGTCATTTCAGGACGCCGGTTGGTTCACATTAACGACAGATTTAAATCACTTACTTAAATGAGTGTAAACCATGTCAGAGAAATCGGATTTGAGCAGAAAAAAAGAAAAGAAAAAAGATCTAAGCTACGAGGAACGTAGCCTTTGCTCTTCTAGCACTAACGGCCATGCGGAAAGCGATGCAGTTTGAGGCTATTTAATTGTTATTTATTTAAACATTTTCATCATATAGCAACATCTGTTTTATCTAATCACATTTGCCAATGAATTGTATTGAAGTTTAAGGCTGCAGTTTTTGTGGCTTAAGAAAAGACAAATACTAATCAATCAGAGAAATTATACCAATGTAAAGAACACATTATACTTGCGTAATCGGGTCAGTCCTGGCTAAAATTAAGTGACAGTTTGAGTTCATACCTTTTCGCTCTTTTCCTCCTCCTTCTCTTTGTCCTTCTCCTTGTCGTCGGTCTTCTCCGAGGGCACCACCACCATAGTGAGCTTGCGGGCGATCTGCTTGGCCTCCAGGATCTCCCTCTTGTGCTCCTCCACGATGGTAGAGTCTACGGGAAGCAGCTGGGAAAGCAGAGATGGAAAAGTCAATTGACAGTCTATAAAAGAGGTGCCCACAGCAGCTTTAACCCCCCAACCCCTCACCCAATGAGAGAACATATTTTATACCACTATATACTATAATACTTTAAGTAATAAAGCACACAATCTAAAGTTAAAGTAAATATAATGACAAAAATGTGTCTTTACACAATCGATGCTGACTGCACTGTCACTGTAGGGAAAACAAGCCTAACATTAATTATAGAAAAATGAATAAACATAAATCCACTCATAACTTGAATCCCACCTACCTCCTTTACTTGTATACTGATCTACCTTTCTGGCCTTTAGCCCACCCCAGACATTACATTCCGCCCACCAATATACAAAACGTTTGGGCAACACTGATCTATACACATCCTACTTTCCTCAGAATCCCTGAAATACAATGAAAAATTAAGTACAGAAAGTTCTCCTCAAATATTGTGCTTGCTGGTTTACTGGTTTTCCTACCGTACCAGAAGATGGACACTAGTTCATAACTTTCACAGAGTATTAGTTATTATTAGTATTAATATTCAATATAAAAAAAAAAAAACCCTCAATATAACTAGTTTTCTTGAAGCGAACTCAAATCAAATGATATTCGCCACGTCACATTTACACAGGTGCAAAGGTGAGTGAAAATCTTAGGTGCGTAGAGCAAGTTAAATACAAAAAACTGCACTATTTCCAAAGTACAGATGTACAGTAATAAGATATACACAGATCAGTCATAACATTCTGACCACCTCCTTGTTTCTACGCTCACTGTCCATTTTATCAGCTCCACTTACTATATAGGTGCACTTTGTAGTTCTACAGTTACAGACTGTAGTCCATCTGTTTCTCTGATACTTTGTTAGCCCCCTTTTACCCTGTTCTTCAGTGGTCAGGACCCCCATGGACCCTCACAGAGCAGGTACTATTTGGGTGGTGGGTCATTCAGCACTGCAGTAACACTGACGTGGTGGTGGTGTGTTAGTCTGTGCTGCGCTGGTGCGAGTGGATCAGGCTTCGCTGTTCTTTTTAACCAACTGAAAACAGAGCAGTACTCACATGTACATAGAGGTCTTCCAGAGCAATGAGATTGTGCTGGAGGAGGGCTGCGGCAATGTGGTACAAAGACGATGGCGTTTCTCCATTAGGTTCCTGGGGGACAAAAAAAAATTTATTAATAAATAAATAAACACGCAACTGAACTCCACAACACAAAATACATACGCATACATCCAAACACAGGTATACATGTTTTGGGATCTCAACTACCAAACATTTTAATTGCATAAATAATATCAAATTATATTAATTTATTTTATTTATTATTATTCCCTTTATTTATGCTTTTGAAAGAAAGTTTACCTTGTAAGTTAATATGACTGTTTTAAAGTGGAGCAGATTTGCCTTTTTTGACAGAAATTTCAGGCTCTTGTGCAGTCTCTCTCTCTCTCTCTCTCTCTCCCTGTCACAATTTGGATGAGTCAAGACTTAAGATGGCCATCCTGACCTCCTCACACTAAACGATCGAGATGACACGAGTCCAGCAAGACCCTTGATTTTATTCCGATATTGGAATTTTGTCTGCGACAGTGAAATCTCCTTAAAACTCGTTTGGCGTACAGCCGGCATAAGACGCCCAGGCCTGGACACCCTGTCACTGATGAACATAAACATAAACATACTATAAATCACGAATTCTTTCAATCCAACGACGCTGAGGGACATAATGCTGCGCTACAGGATATTACATAAAACAACAAATAAGCCCATTAAACACTAGTTTTCGCCCCAAACGTTGGAAAGTATCAAATTTACTGAATATTCAAAACTTCCAGCAAATTGATTACGATGAAGGCCTCTGTAAAATATGAAAATTTTCAGCTCTAGAAGCCGAGGGACAAAACTGATGAATAGGCTTCACATCAGCTCTGACTAAAGCACTCTTTCATCTTTGATTAATATGATTGAACTTGATATGAATCACAAGACTGTACAAGTCAGCAGAGCGACAAGATACTTGACTGTTTCCTCGTACAGCTATAACTTCATAAGGAAAGCAAAGAAACTCTGACAAATAGGAAGCAGAGCTCAATACTTCAGAGTGGAATGACAAACCAACCACATCTTGCAGGCAAAGCGATGCGCGACATTCGTTCAGAAAGGCTGCAAATCATTTTTAAAAGCTGCGTCTGATGCTGACCTTAATCATAATATTTCCTGCCACTTAAAGTAGAGCTTTCACTAAACCGAATCTTCCTGAATCACTGCTGATTGTGTCAATATTTGCAGGAAAAAAGCAAATCAACAAAAAGGTTGACAGATGAAACATATGGACGAGGCATGTCAACTTTCTGACGCTGTCATGGTTATTGCAGCCTGGCAAACGAACCCTTCATTTGTGTTTAAAGCACCATGGGTCTGACAGGCTCTGCCAGCATACAGACGTATACAAATTGCCTGTCTGTCTGAAAGGGGGCACTTAGATTGTTATTACAACACTTCAATACAATCATTCTGACTGTAAGGGGCAAAGGAGGCATGGATAAGCGTGTAGGACTAGAGGCGGCAGTTATGGTAAACCCGGCCCTGTAAAAAGTGAAACTCACCTGATGGAACTTGAACTTGAAGCCCAGGATGTGGCACAGGGTCTGGTGCTCGCACATGTAGGACTTGATCAGAGGTATGAAGAACTCGTCCTGGTCTGAACGGCATTCGTACACCTCCAGGATGATGTCCAGCACCCGGTTTGGGTCCAAGTTGAAGCATCCTGCACAATGGGACAGTTTACTTTTGTGCGGGCAGGCCATGTACATCAATAAGGACAATTTCAAACCAGAATCCTGAGATGGCTAACGGTGAAGACACCAGCGTGTCCCTGGTATACCATAACAATTTGGCCCCATGTCAACACAGCAAGTAAAAGTGGTCCAAATCTGATTTTCTCACCAAATCTGATTATTTGTTTGGCTGTTCTCAATGTCTTTTAAATGTGATCTGCATGCATCATCAGTCTGAACAGATCAGCTCCTAAACTGACCCACATGTGCAGAAGAACAGAGCGTCACGCTGCTTCACGGCTCATCCAGAGGTAAACAATCACGACCGCCAACGAACACCAGTCACTCCCGGAGGATCAGCTTCATCTTCACCAGCATCACAGGAGCCATCATGAAGCTTCACTGACTGACAGCTGGGCTCATCACCCAGAATGTGTTCGAGCCGTAAAAAGGGCGCGGTCACTTCTTTGGTTCGTGTCCTCGGATTTAACTGTTCTTTGACGCTGCAGCCTCGTTCTCCTGCGGCCGCGTTCGGACATTTCTTTCAAAATCTCTTCAAAACACGGAGGGTCTGGATGAGTCTCTAATTTTTTGGTACAGAAACATCAGCCTAAATGTTTACGAGTCTCAGCAGCTCAAAAGTATGACGAATGTGGAGCTGGATTGACGAATTCCTATCTGGCTGTTCAGACTGAGTCGCACTGCCGCAGATCAGATACGTATCAGATTTCAGTACCACATATGAAAGCGTCTCAAATTGGAATTGTCAGATTCAGTGTGTTTTCATATAAGGACTGTTCAGACTGTGGAGCAAACTGCACATTGATGTAGTATACAGACCTTGTTAAACACCAAAAAAAGGAATAATTACATATAAATTTGCCATTACATGAGGCCATTAAAATGATCAGTTTTGATATAATACTCTTTTCACCACAAAGTTTTCATGGAAGTTTTTCCAAAATCAACCAAATCTGTTTCTGACAGACTTAAGATTTCAAAACTTTAGCATTAATTAAATAAAGCGGAAGTAATTTTATTACCACGTTCTGAAAGAGTAATTACCGTAGTGATCAATGCTCATCTAGTCAGATTGCTTGCGATTATGATTTTGTAATTACTCAAGGTCAGGCCCCCATTATAGTCAAGTGAAGAAGTTATTACCAATCAGTGTCACAGAATATACATGGGCTCCTCAAGATATTACAAGGCAATGAAAATGAAGTAGAGCATATGGGTCGAGTGGGATATAATGAGGGTCCGCAGAGCACGGCGTACCTATTAAAGATTTGATGCTCTCCAGGACGAGATGGCTGGTGACGTTGCCTGTGAGGTCCTGGCCCAGCTCAGTCACCAGCTTGGCGTAACCTTCGTTCTCCTCCCGTAACAAGTTGAACTTCTGCTGTTTGTAACTGCAAGAGGGAAGATGAAAAGATTACACTGTTCAGTGCTGAGGTGCTTCAGCAGGCGACAAAAGCAATAAGCTCAAATCACACAGCTCTGCCGGCTCCTCTTAGACAGGCCTGCATTGTAAAGGAACTGTCAGCATGTCTGTGGGTAGGAATGGAGAAGGCAGGGGCAAAAGCTAACGGTGTTCTGGAGGATTTGTCAACATAGCCAAGTCACAGAGGACATAAAACAAATTAATCCTCCCCCGACGCACTTCTGCGCAGTTAACGGTTTGAGTGGGTGAGGAGGGGGTGACGAGCACAGCCCCAGAAGAGAGGTAAGCAGGGCTCTCCAAACTTGCTAAGAACTCTTAAAGACAGACCCGCACAAAGACACGAAATTAATCATTGTCAGGGGAGCCCAGTGCAGTGCTTTCCATTTAAAAGAAAATGAGGTGGCAGACAAATTACAGAGTTGCGGCGGTTTCTTGACGCTCATGCGGGAGGCAGCACTTTGGAAAATGAAACAAGACAAACGCGGTAGACGAAGTGAGCACAATAAAGAGGAAAGTTAAAATGCCTGGCAAACTCGAAGGTAACTCAAAAAGGTAGAGGGGTCAGGACAACGGCCTACAGCAGGGGCGTCAAACTCAACCAGTAAGAGGGCCGTATTACAAAACCTCTTTAAATCTGTGGGCCGGAGAAAAACGTTTTTATTTCATTTTTAGTTAATGTTGTGCTGTAACCCAAACTGGTCACTGTTTATTCAAAATATGCAAAAGCTTCAACTGTAAAATACAGACATTTGTAGCAGACCTTGAAATATCACATGGGTTTAAATGTAAACCTACCTATTTGCTTGAACTAGACACCTGACATCCTTTCTTTGCTGCAAGTTCATTAAGACTTGGGCTCAGTTTCCGAGCTGTTGAACTAATGTGAAGTGTTTATGTTGGTTGAACTGCAGCTGAAATGCATTTTGGTGATATGACCTGGTGTGGAATTGCGCAGAATTGTGTAGAATTGAGGTGTAACTTCTGTCCCATAGGCTGCCGTTGGGGTAGGAGAGTCGCAGCGCTTTACGTTGCAGTGCATGCTGGGGACTGTAGTGCAGCACACTGTGAAACAGGCTAATATTAATTGAAGATTAAAATATTTGTTTGGCACGAGGCCTACAGCATCAGTATCATGCTTTAATTTTCTAAAACTCACCATGTCCACTGTCTGAATCTGGAGCGACTGGTGATCTGCTCTCCTGTGACCGAGTGTGAGTGACGAGGTCAGTGGCGTAACTGTACTGTTCTACAGTGAACTCACCTCTTTACTAACATCCTAACAGCTTTAGCAGCGTTAAATCACTTCTGCTCCTCACAGCTACAGCACTGTTACAGCGCTCAGTCATATTTTAGTATTAGTGCATTCCCAAGCAACGAAAGTGAAAGAAAGGAGTGGTTCATGTAAATTACAGTCCTGATTTAAACAACAGTAAACTGAGGATGCCCTATGTGTGTCATTGGAGGGTGGGAGAATGCTAGCTTCCCAGGCTAGCTGTTTTTAGCAGCTGGCTAACCTGAAGCAGCTCCGTCACTCACACAACACAGCGAACTGACGTTACTGTAGATCAAACACGACAAAAACACAGATTTCAGTTTAAACGTACCTAAAAAGGAGGACAAACTATTATAACTACTATAGTCACTACTCAGACTACTATAGAGAATCCCAGTCGCTGGCTAGCTGGCGTTGGAATACTGTGATATGCTCTGACATGGATGTGGTGGGATGATGGCAGTAAGGCGGTGTGATCCATCACTGACCTACCGAACCAGCTAATGTTTGCTGTTTGTACTAAGCTGACGTTGCTGAGAAACTAAACAGATTAAAAATTATAACCAGATAGCCGAGCACTCGTCACCAGACAGCTAAAATAAGCGGTTTTCTTTCTTAAAATATAAACATTATAAAAACCGCGGCTGTGTTTTTCCAGCTGGTAAAAACAGCTAATCAGAAACTTTCTCCCACTGTCCCATGACAGATTTGTGAAGTGTTCCACTGTTTGGTGAGCGTTTCTCATGCTCTGACCATAAAGTATAGGTTAAGACCACAATTAACCACTCAGGAGCAAAAATCAGCCTTCAAACTTACATGAAATAATGATTCGACATTTATCGCGATACATATCGATATTGACTGATATGAATTTCTGTTTATCGTGATATTTTGGGCCATATCGCCCAGCTCTAGTGAGAAGTGCAACAAGTTCAACGTTTGACTGAACGTCATGTTTAGATAACACTTGTCAGAAAAAAGGAACTCACAATAGCTTGGTCTTAATTTTGACGATCTTCTGGTTGAACTGCAGGGCTTGTTTGATCAGGCCAAGGGACTCCAAGGTCTCCGGGTCGAGCCTCTCTTTCAGCACAGCATCAGGAACACAGAACTGCAGCAAAAGCAGACAAATAATAGCCTTATAGGTGGGCTATACAACCGGGCTTGGCATGCTTGGTACCCTTCTTTAATAAGCACATGTGAAGTACGTTTCCCTGAGTCTGACATCATTTTAAAGTCATTAAAAACACAAGCGCTGCTCACTGCTGCTCATCTCACTCTGACTGGACTTACGTGATGTTGGTTGTCATGGTAACGTCTACACTAAGCAGTTCTCTAAACATGTGCATCATTTTGGATCTGATTACTTTTAGTGAGAATGTAAACAGAGATTTTCCATCAAATTGTTGAGTAGAGTGAGAATAAACACCTCAGTCTTAATCTACAGGGTGATTCAAAAAGATTCATCTGATTTCAAAATGATTTATTTCTCTTGTAAATCATTACAGATCAATGCAGTGAACTGTAAATGGTTTAAATGAGCATAAAGTTTATTATGTAATTGTACAAGGTCTCAGTATGAACCTCCTCCAGCTGTACAGACAACATCAACACCATAGTCAAACTCATCCCATACTGGATTGAGCATGTCGGGTGTCGCTGCACTCTCGGAGATCATCCAGTGTTGTGGAACCAACGACGAACGCTCTGAGCTGTTGGAGCTTCACTGCCCACGAAAATCACACTGGACAGTTATGACGGATTCACTCTTATTGAAGTGGAGAATTTTGCACAGACGCCACTAAAACAGTGCACTTAACTTAAAAAGGGGCCTTAGAGCAGCGTTTCATTTAACACTGCTGCGATCTGTACTCGCTAAAGACGTAAGAAATATGACTAAAGCACCAATAATATTACAGGTTCTGTTTGCATATAAAGCCCACAGAGATTTGCGGACCTTTTTAAAGAGTGACGGATTTATGACTCATTCACCTAAGAGCAGAAATTACCCAGCCCTCCACTACAAACTGTCTACCTCTCAAACCCATTGTGCTCTGCAGCAGAACGAAGACGGAAAACGAGCTCCGGCTCAGGGCTTCGCTCAAAAGCCTCTCCAAGCCCAGCCTGAATGTGCAACTTTCCTTCGCTCAACTATTTCACATCTAATTATAATGCAATGGTCTGAGCTCCCAGGAGGAGCCGGTATTTTCTGGGGAGGAAAATGGCCTTTGTGAGCAGAGTTTAATTCTCCACTGGAGGACAGAATTTAGGTCACTCAATACCCTAATGCAGCTAATCTTCAGAGTAGGGGGAATTGTGCCGCAAGCTTACGTATGCGCCGCAAAGAAAATTATTTACCAGAAAGGGCCAGCTCCCAGCTGCTGTTGCATTTTGCAGGGCTTGGCGAGGGTGAAAAGATGCAGAGGGTGTCATTATTTGATAGGGCAACACTGCCACTCAGTGGCGACGGCTGGTGATGTGCACGCAGCAATGCATTCAGTACTGCACTGCAGTGAAGGCAGCGACAGCATGAGCCGTACTTACCAAACACGCTCCCACCAGCTGGGTGAAGTGGTCACGCTTGTGTTTTTCCTCCAAACATCCAGTCTCAATATCTGTAGATATAAGAGGAAAATGACAGCGGATCAAGTATCTCCATTTTTGACGTTTTTCAGTTTTGACATAATTTGAAAATACCTGTTACCCATTGTGTGTACATTCTCTGATGAATGGACTAAAAGAAATGACCCAAAATGACTTGGGGAAAAAATTCTGGTTCCATTGACTTACATTAAAAGTAAAGTATGTTTTTTCCTTCTCCTGTAAAAAGTTATCATTTTGGAGATACGAGGTTTTCTTCAGACTACAGTGATATACAAAATGCCATAAGGACTAGTTCTGGCTCAATGTAGCTTAGTAGCTCTCAGAAATCGGCACCATCTACCACTTTTCATGCCCATGCGTGTCTTATCGCTTGGAGATGCACGATTTCGATGTGATACATCACTGCTGTGCAATCATCCTCTTGAAAAGCGGTCCTGAACACCATTTTTAGCAGAACACTTTTTTAGTAGGTCTACAGCTGTAAGATTTGAACAGTCTCAGTCAAATTACATGTTTTGTTGATTTTCTGAAAATATGCCAACACATTCTCTACAGGCAACAACAATTTTAGTGCACAATTTCTATTTATTAGCCAAGTTTAACATAAGTTTAACATGAGTTTGGGGAGGGGGGAGTGGAAAGGCCAGAAACCAAAATAAATAAATAAATAAAATCAATCTACAGGAATAATTTGCCCTATTGGGCCTATTAAAAATGCTCCACCACTTGAATGATAACCTCACCTCAAATAGGAACTGATGTTTTGAGTTTTAGATTACAAGTGCTTTACAGACTGGTATGATTTTCAGCTGAAAACTGAAATGTTAAATAAAACCGCCAGATCTAAATTGACATTTCTAAACCTCAAACAGCAGAAGCTCCTAAAGTCAAAATTAAACACTGCAGCTTCAGGAGTGGAACTCTCCAGCATTGCACCAGTGTGGAATGCAGAATGACTGGCTGAACAGACTGATGTCCGCTCTGGACGACACACTTGGCGCTCTATCTCCCTCCATCTACGAGCCTATGAGAGCCCTCTGCTGCGGCAGCACCTCTCGCTAACATTTACAGGCAGGCAAACATGGACCGAGAGAAGGCCGAGAGGAAGACGTCGTGTTCTGAGACACGTAAGCTGGACATCCGTCCCACCGCCGTCTTTTAAAGATCAGAGCATAAACTTCGTCTCCTCTGCAGACCAGTTTCTGCTCCGCCATGTTGAACGGTATAAACTCTCACTATGACGCGACGAACATGATCAGAACGGACTTAAACTTTCTGATCGGGAATGTAATCAGATACAGGCGTTTACTCGGATATTATTCTTCTATTTGACAGATTATTTACAGGATTACCCACCTCGATCAGTCGGATAGGAACTATATTCCAAAAGGCGTCAATCTGACTAGTCTATTCCGACTGAGGTGTTTACGTGGACGTATTCTATTCCGATTGAGCTGTTAGTCGGATTATTAACGGATTATTAGGCTGCATGTGAACATGCCTATTTAAGGAAGGAATTCCTCCATTCTGAAAAGCGAATTTCAGGCCCTGTAATTACCTCTTACTCTGTATTTTTCCATCAGATCTCTTTCTAGAAAAAAGGTGCTATAATGCTTTCCGCATGCTCAAGATTTGGTCTGGATAAATTTTTACAAGTTTGTTATTTTATCCATGGTGGCATTTGGTGCTCAAATTAAACTCCGCCACTTCAGCCTGTACGCCTCCTACAGAGTCTGGCATGCGACCAAGAACAAATACACCACAGTTTTCTTCATGTCAGAGGTCTGCTATATCATAAGACAAGCCACTAATTATCTGTGCTTTATTGGCAGCAATCTCATCAACACAAGGCCCTCATAAGACGAACCTTAATCCTCAAAGATGTTTCAGTCAAGCTATTATCTACACAGCTCACCAAAACAAAGCAAATCACAGAACACGTATTTACATTCAGCGGAAGATCCTCTGAGATCAAAGCAGCCCAAGGGCTCGTTTATGTTTTGACAGAAACCAGACCAGGAATGATGAACGTAAGCCAGGAGATTTGCAGACACAAAGCATACATGCTTACAGTGAGTGCTGCACTTGAGTCCTGACTCAGACTGCGAATAAGGAATATTTACCACCCTGAGGCCGCCTGCCACGTGGGGCTGGACAATTAATCGGAAAGTAATGAACATTTTTTAAAAATTCTGCTAATCCTTTCCCCACTCTGTGTGTTCATGCACTGTCCCCTTAAAAACTTACTACCGCACGTGTATCACATGACTCCGCCACATCCAGTCCGTGACATGGAAGCTAAGGCTGCATTCCCACAGCAGGTAAAAGTGGCCCAAATCTGATTTTCTCACCAAATCCAATTTTTTTGCTTGGCTGTTTGGCAAAAATCGGATTTGTGCCACTTCAACCTGGTAATGTGAACGTAGCCAAAGATGTTCAATTCAATATTTGAAGTTAATTTTATAGTTTAGAATTATTTTTTTTTTTTTTGGTAACATCAGAAAATTTAATGAACATTAAATGCATGATAAACTATAATTTCCTATTTACAATAAATCCTTGACAGGTTATCCTCCTCAAAAGCTAATTACCACTTTTCAAATGTTATGTTAATCTCATTATAACTTCACTGTTGATGTTATACAGCAGTTATTACATTATTACAGTTATGTATTAGTTATTTAGAGCTCTGTTCATTCTGGACACTGCAATGCATTTATTTTTAACAGACGTCTACAAATCAGCTGAAACTGTTGTAGAGCAGCAGCATCTTATTAGAGTAGCAGAATATTATTGCAAATATACACATATACATACATATATATTCATTGCCCATCTTCTTCTGTTCTTTATGTACCTCAGTTCTTGATTGTAACTCTACTCAATTCCCATTTGACGTCTTTTATATCACTCTGACTGTTTGAGTTCTGTATATCTATACAACGTTTTCGATCTATATTTTTATTAGATTTTAGGGCTGCAACAAACAACTAATTTGATAGTCAAATAATCTATCGATTACCGAAACGAATAATTGGTATTTTCAAAACAGAAAATGTTACAGCTCATAACATGAAGTAGGACGGCTTTCAACATTATCTAACCAACTCGTTAACACAGCTATTGCTGCGTCCCAAACCACACACTTCACATACTACACTAATGAGTGCACTTCTAATGGTATCTGAGCTATTTTTACACACTTTTTAGTGAGCTGCTACCCAGTTTGGGACAGGGCGTATTTTACTGAGATGAATCTTCACCCAGTGAGCTGACGAGTTTCCTCTTCAGATGCTTCAACCTGGAGGATGAGCTCCCACGCCAGCTAAACTCGGCTTTCCAAATAGCACAACTGACCACCTTTTTTCTGAGTTTAGCTCCCACACCTCTGAGGATTTTGTTCCTGAGGCTGCCATCGCACTTCTGTAACCCTCCAGTGATCGATAATGTCAAAATGTTCCTAATGAGCGCAAGAAAGATGCGTAATGACGTCACCAACTAATCGACTATTAAATTAGCTGCCAACTAATCTGGATGTCGATTTTAATCGACTAAGTTGAATAATGGTTGCACCCCTTTTAGATTTTTTTTTTAGGTTGACATCTTCAAGAGAAATTCCTTGTACATTTGGTACTTGAGAAATAAAGATCATAAAATTATCAATTTTTATACAAGTACATTCAACAAAATTGATTTAAATGTTATTGGAAACAAGGATTCTGAACTCTTAAATGGTATGAGAGATATTAGGGTAAGTTATGAGATATGGAATTTACAATATGCTTACAAACACCACAGACGTGTGAATGACAGTGAATGTTTACATATAGAAGTACTCGTAATATGCCTGCATTGTGCAAATATACTAACGAAAATATATGTTGTTTCATATAAAACAATGGTAAAACATTATCAGTTCTGCTCCCACTGGTGCACGGTGAAGTAAGTTTTCTTGGGCTTTTCCCCAATTTTTGTCTAATTCCACCCACTAGCTACATCTACCAGCACCAGGAGGGTGAAGGCCAGCTCTGAGCTGCATGATGAGAGGGCCATCCTATCCACCCAGGGAGAGCGAGGCCAATTGTGCCATGTAGTCATAGCAGCTAGTGGCTGCAGCATCACTGGGGATCAAGCACTCAGTCTCCTGATAGTAGGGCCAACGCTTTTAAATGATATGATGAATCAAACTTAATATGACCACATGAATTAATGAGGTAAAAAAAAGGTCAGATTTGATTTTAGGTTAACTTTAAATGATTATCAACATATTTTGGTCACCACTTACCTAGTACACAGAAAACATCAGCTAAAATGGATGGCATATCTTCTCGCAGCTCCTGAAACACAAACATAATAATTGGTACATTAATGGACCATTTTCACACTTCCGTGTTCTTTAATGCAGATGAGCAAATAGTAGCTTTAACCGGCTTCCGGCCGCACTGTAAACAACGGCTGATACTGCCCGAAATCACTGCTGTGTTTCTAATACACCAATAATTCAACTGAACAGCCTCACCTGAGTTTCCACTCAACTAAGTTTAAAAATGTTCAACTTCAGCTGAAAAGCTCCGCTCGTCATGTGTCACTTTTAACGAGGTAACCAATCAAAAAAGAGAGAGTAAAACTGAGCTGTAGAGCGAAAACGGCCTGTACAGGACACATTTACTCAGACTTGTGACTAAAAATGCTCCAAGACAAATATTCATTCACTGGTGTGTTTACAATACTGGAGATGGTCGTCAGAGAGGTTTGACTAACATTTTTAACTCCTTGGAACCACCGGTGGTTCCAAAACGCACTTCACTTCATAACTTCCATATTTTATAAGCTTCATTCAAAAGGTGGGGGTCATATGAGAGCTATAACTGTCTTCTTTACAGTTAAATAGATGGGTGATGTAGTTTTAAACTTTATAATAAAACAAGCTGAACTCAATTTTTTTAAAACTGAAAGTCGACCCATTTTTCCACAAATCTGAGCTATAAACTGGATCTCAGACGGCGTCTCTTCAGTGATCTGCTCTGTAATAATTTTATAAAAAAAATACAAAGAGCATCTAAGATTTTTGGCTGTCAGCAGTAAATTGTTAGCATAGAGCAATACATTTATGATCATAAAACACATTTTCTGTTAATTTTAATGGAGCTTTTACAAAATTACATTTATTTCATGCAGTTACTGAATAATTTGCCTTATGATTTGGGCCTTTAAATTCAGAAGGAAAATCCGAAATATACCTTCAAGCATAAGAGGTTAAAAACCTTGAGAAACTCTCCTCTCCACTGTAGCTCAGTGATCAGTAACTGTAACGTAAAAATACGATGCTGTGTCTCTGAGGTGGTTATGGTGTTCAGGCCACTCGCTAATGTTTACATGAACTGAGTAGGACAAGCTAAACCTGGTGTACTTTTTCTCCAAAATAAAGCGCAGTGAGTGCAGATCTGTTTAGGGATGTGTGATGTGGTGTTGAACATAGAGATCCACTCGGCTCCTTCTCCGCTTCGCAAAACCTGTCTCAGGCAAATTCCTCACAGTTCAGACGCGAATTTTTGCGGAATATGTCGTCTGCCGTCATCTGCTGCAGTGTACTCATCAACTTTGGGCTTAATTATCTGGCTAACTGCTTACTGTGAAATTCCACCCTGGTTTAACCTATCCAGCTAACTGAGAAATCCAGCTGGGAGTCCCCCCAGGCCACCTGCTCGTTTTAAATAGTGGCAGGATAATAGTTCAAATAGAGGTGCATTTCTAATGGTTGGCAGACTTTAGACTAATACAAGAGTCCAAAAGGACTGCACTCTCCCAAAGCAGAGTGAAGGGGTAATCCATCAGTTGCAGGCTTCAGGTGTGCTTAGAACAGTAGTTTCATCATTCCTGATAAAGTGTCACAACAGCAGCAAAACCAATCTGCAGAGTACTTTTGCCTCCACGCACCACAGATGAAAGAAGCTGGTACTGAAGGAACACACAGTCAAGGTCTGATCTGAAAGTTTAAAAAGTGAGCGCAACACCTACAAGACATCTGATTTCACATCTTCCCCTCAGTTTGACAGCTTTCTGCAGCGCGTTCAAAACAAATAGTTGAAAAAGAACCCAATTTACTTCACTGAAGGGTTTCACTTGTTGAAAAATGTCTTTTGCTACTCGAGCGCAGGGGAATTTCTTTGTATCACTGAATGAAAAAAGGCTTTACCTCCACAGGTGAACAAATACACAGACATGTCTCTTTGGCTTTGTTCACTCAGCAGGTAAAAGTGGCCCAAATCTGATCTTCTTCTTCATGTGTGACACAGATGTGTGTCTGTGTGTCAGCGTGAACAGATAAACACACTTTCATGTGTGGTACTGAAATCTGATACGTATCCGATACGCAGCAGTGCGATTCAGTCTGAACAGCCAGATCGGAATTCATGCAGCTTTTACGTCAATCCAACTCAACATTCGTTATGATTTGTGCTGCTGAGGCTCAAAAACATTTAGGCTGATGTTTCTGTTCCAAAAACTAGAAGAGACTCATCACAACCTTCAGTGTTTGAAGAGATTTTAAAATAAAAGTCTGAACGCGGCCGCAGGAGAACGAGGCTGCAGCGTCAAAGAACAGTTAAAAGTCTGAAAGCAAAGTTTAAAGAATCCGAGGACGCAAACCAAAGAAGTGGCCGCGCCCTTTTTACGGCTTGGACACATCCTGGGTGATGAGCCCAGCTGTCAGTCTCCCTTCATGATGGCTCCTGTGATGCTGGTAAAGATGAAGCTGATCGTTGGCGGTCGTGATTGTTTACCTCTGGATGAGCCGTGAAGCAGCGTGACGCTGTTCTTTTGCGCATGTGGGTCAGTTTAGGAGCTGATCTGTTCAGACTGATGTTGCAGATCACATTTAAAAGATAATGTGAACAGCCAAACATAAAAAGATTCAGACTTGGTGAGAAAATCAGATTTGGGCCACTTTTACCTGCTGTGAGAACGCAGCCTTTGTCACTGGGACTATGAGAAATAGGTTTATTCTCAATGGACACACAATTAGTCATGAATGTACAAGATTGTGTACACAGGTGCAGCCTAAGTGAGGCCGCTTCCATCGTTTCCAAAGTTACAGACGTCGACCGATTAGATCAAAATATTAAACTCACACATACAAATTACTGTGGTTTGAGAGAACTGCTCAGCATATCAACCCATAGCATCCTTAAGAACAAGTTACAAACTGCATAGTAAAAGTTGTCTTTTCTTCCAGCTTCGCCTCACACAGTGATGGAACAGCGATCTTGTGAATATTTTATATTTTACTTTAGATGCTTTGGAATTATTACTCTATTGTTGCATACATAGCAATTAGGGCTGAAAGATTAACCATTGCTCATTCAAAATGGGAATTTAAGAGAGGGCAATTTTCAAAATGATGTGTTGTGACATCACAACCACAATGTACTGGCAGTCTGGCACACTATACTCAGGGTTCAAGCCCCAGGCCAGAAAAAAAGTGAATATCCTGGTCGTTCTGGCCAAGAAAACAGGCCTGCACCTTGATTTATAGAAAATAATCACAATTTAAATCACAGTAACAATATGAATCAGAGAAATCGCAATATTTCCCCCAAATCGTTCAGCCCTAAAAGCAATGTTATGTTCTATATTGTACCTGTACAAGTAAAAAAAAACAAAATTAAATTGTAATATATGCTTTTACCCAAGTTTAAAACATTTCCTGCAAAAAACTCAACACAGCCCTTATTTTTATCATAGACATGCAGCTCTCCAACATAAACACACCACAACGCCTCAGACTAAAGCCTGCTGCAAAATCAGTTACGCTCACTGTGCTGAAAGTCAGATTATACGATAAAGATTTTCTGGCGAAAGACCTGCAATGCAAGAAAACGACATCCTGTCGGGGTTATTCCTACAACAGTTTTTCAACACTTCAAAAAAGTTATTTGAATAACTTGCTCAGAGAAAAACACCTGAAGCACAACATCAAACTGATGGGACTCTTTGTGTGGCAAAAACCCAGAAAAGAACTCAAACAAACCCCTGTAAGGCTACAGTAAAGCACAGGGGTGGAAACTTTTACGTCTGGGGCTGTTTTTCTTACAATGGTGGCGGTGAGCTTGTATTCACTGATGGGATCAAGAACTCAGTAGTGCACAAAGGCTTTCTGGAGGGAAACCTGCAGAAGCCGGCAAAGAGACCGAATCTGAATCAGAACAGCTGCATTTTGAACAAAAACTCTGCTCAAAAAAAGTAAAGCACAACGTTGAAATGGTCTGTTTAAACTACAATTTGTACAGCAAAAATGTCAGAACAGTTTTTGGAGCCACTGTACGTATGTTTTTTTTTTTCTTCATATTCTTTACTTCATAACTTCCATATTTCACAAGCTTCATTCAGAAGGTGGGGGTCATATGGGAGCTGTAACTGTCTTCTTTCCAGTCTAATAGATGGGTGATGTAATTTTAAACCCATATAATAAAGGAAGCTGAACTCTCAATTTTTTTTCTACTGAAAGTCGACCCATTTTTCCACAAATCTGAGCCGTAAACAGGATCTCAGACGGCGTCTCTTCAGTGATCTGCACTGTAAAAAAAAAAATAATTAAAAAAATACAAAGAGCATCTAAGATTTTTGGCTTTCAGCAGTAAATTGTAAGCATAGTGTTGTGTATGATCATAAAACATGTTCTGCTAATTTGAGGGGAACTTTTACAAAAAAAAAAACCCAACAATTTACATTTATTTCATGCAGTTACTGAATAACTGGCCTTACGGTTTGGGCATGTAAAATTCAGATGGAAAATGTTAACTTTTCTCGGGCAAGTGACCTGAAAATTCACTGTCCCAACCAAATTCCTACTGTCCCAAACAAATCTTTGTATTTAAAGGTGTTATAAATATGCACACATGAACTAGTATACTTCGTTAAGGTTATTTATTCTTGAAACAAAACTGCTCAAATTCCTACCACTGATTCGTATTTCTATTTTATTATAAATAAATTCAAATTAAAGTTATCAATGATCTTAACGTTAGAATTTGCACGCGCAAGTTAGCAAATATTACCTTCTGCAAGCCGGGTCGGTTCAATACTGGCTACCAAGTTCTCATGTGGGTAGTCGGTCAAGAGTCTCTCTTTTAACCGTATGATATGTTGCTGTGACCAACTTCCAGGTCAACCTGGAATCTGCTTCACTGCTCATCCGTCGTTTTTCCGCTGCTATCACGCAGTGTGACAGAGTCTTGTGACACTCAAGCGACTGTTTTCCAAAAGTTGTAGTTCCGACAAAAAAGAACCACCTTTATCTGCCTTGTTAGGATTTTCCCTACAAACTTTACAGAACATCTCAGGAACAGAGGGGTCAGAATCGACCCATGAGAACTGAGTTTTCCATGAGTGAGTGACGCTGCAGACTCGCTTTGCTTCGTATTCGCGCTTCACTCTGACGTCATTTGTCAACAAATAAAATCTTTGGTTTTAACTGGACGCACGAACGGATAAGACCAATTTTTTGTGGCGAGGGGTTAAATATTCAGGTGAATTAAGTTTGGAGCCAGTTACGTTGTTCTGTTAACAGACTGCGGCCCCGACCCCAACGTGAACTTGCCTCATCGAGCAAGAGATTTTTCGTGCTGCTGTCCCAACATCACGTTTTACTCGCCCCGGGCATTCAGGCAATAGTTACTGTTGAACCCTGAATGGTCATGGACAGTTTCAGTGAACGAATCACTTCACAAATAATGAACGTGAACACAAACGAGAACGTTTTACGGTACGCCGCATGACGCTTCAATAAACACAGCCAAGCATGTCTGGTGTTAGTGGTAGAGACGTAACTGCAGATGTCGGTTTGTTTGAGCCCACATGTGCCCACCTGGTCTGAAAAAACAAGTTCGGACATCAGCCACATCTACATCGAGTTGAAACATCGAAGCAGTCGTGTGGAAGACATGCGACTTAATAATGAGCACAATAAATCATTAATGACTACGATGCAACAACCACAAAGTTTGCCCACCCGATTGAAGCTCGCAGCATTTCGTAAAGGACCTGCTGTCCTCGTTTCCCAACAAGTGGACAAGATTGTACTGGACTAGCTACACTGTGGGAGATCTGCAGCCTCTGAGTAACGCTAAGGTCGAAAAGCCATCTTTCATCACATTGGTGACTGGCTTGCAGCCAATCAGACGTCAAGAAAGCAAGTAGCTTGCGGAAAATGTTGAACAGTGCATTTAATCAGAGCATTACTGACTTAAAGGCTGTGGTAGAGAATAATTCATTTAGATTATGAGTAGCAATGACTTTGGGCTGGTGATGGATGGGTAGAAAGAGGTTCTATTGAAAAAGATAACAGGAAAAAAAACAAATGAACATGAACTAGTTCATTTCTGGAACTCTGAATTTTAAAAATGAACTATGAACATGAACGAGTTCATCTTCGTCAGTATGAACTGAACTTTGAACTGGTTCATTTTGCATGTGAACTGGCACAACACTGGTCATGGAATGCAGGAACAATCGTGCTGCGCGATGTTGGACCAAGCTTTCTATCATGGCTAGAACTCTGCTGAAGGCTGTCTTTAGTGACAAGAGTACTAAATTGGCCACCTTGAAGTACATCACACTAGACACTCAACACAAAGAACTCACGGTTTGTGATTTTTGCCTGTGATAACAGCACTTCCCCTGAAAAACCACATAACCTTCCTTAATGCAAACATTTATCCACTTAATCAGCTTCGCCAAGGTTGCCATCTATACTTTGTCACAATCAGCACCGTTTTCATTTCTGAACCAACCCTGGTCCCAGGTGTGCGAGTCATCCTCCACTCAAACTTTAATAATGCAATCAGAGATTACAGCACTGAGCTGTGGAGAGCTGGGCAGCGCTGCCACTCACCATAACATCAGCCAGGAGGCTGGCAGCCACGTCAACCTTGAGACTGCCCTGGACGACATGCCAGCAAAGCTCGTACAAGGCTGACTGGAGATCTACGGAATGAAAAAGACAAGATTACCCTCAAAAAAAGATCATAAGACGACAATGTGCATCATCCCTAATTTTAAACTACTTTTGACACTGTTTATACCACTAAAAGTTCTCTAGATACACCGATCAGGCGTAACATTCTGACCACCTCCTTGTTTCTGCGCTCATTGTCCATTTTATCAGCTCCACTTACTATATAGGTGCACTTTGTAGTTCTACAGTTACAGACTGTAGTCCATCTGTTTCTCTGATACTTTGTTAGCCCCCTTTTACCCTGTTCTTCAGTGGTCAGGACCCCCATGGACCCTCACAGAGCAGGTACTATTTGGGTGGTGGATCAGTAACACTGACGTGGTGGTGGTGTGTTAGTGTGTGTTGTGCTGGTCTGAGTGGATCAGACACAGCAGTGCTCCTGGAGTTTTTAAGCACCTCAGTGTCGCTGCTGGACTGAGAATAGTCCACCAACCAAAAATATCCAGCCAACAGCGTCCTGTGGGCACTGATGTAGGACTAGAGGATGACCAACACAAACTGTGCAGCAGCAGATGAGCTATCGTCTCTGACTTTACATCTACAAGGTGGACTGACAAGTCAGGAGTGTCTAATAGAGTGGACAGTGAGTGGACACAGTGTTTAAAACTCCAGCAGCACTGCTGTGTCTGATCCACTCGTACCAGCACAACACACACTAACACACCACCACCACGTCAGTGTTACTGATCCACCACCCAAATAGTACCTGCTCTGTGAGGGTCCATGGGGGTCCTGACCACCGAAGAACAGGGTAAAAGGGGGCTAACAAAGTATCAGAGAAACAGATGGACTACATTCTGTAACTGTAGAACTACAAAGTGCACCTATATAGTAAGTGGAGCTGATAAAATGGACAATGAGCATAGAAACAAGGAGGTGGTCAGAATGTTATGCCTGTGCGTTGATGAAAACAAACGCACAGAGCTAAAGAACAGGAAAAATGATCACCCTACCAAATCTAAATTTTAACAGTACAGTCTACTACAGCTAAAGAGCAGACCTAACAGGCTGATCAGTAACAGCGCTTTTCAAACTGAAGATGTATTTACGCTAAAATGTGTGGTCTTATTCCCCCAAGAAATACATGTCATTTCTCTGCATCTCATATACCCAATCTTTATATCTAAAACTTCATATGAATGTTTTTGTATCAGCACTGGAAGATATGTACTTGAAAAAGCATCGGATATCAGCATCAGCCCATATCACTCCTTCGAGTAACTTAAGGCAATACTATTATGTAATTTAAGACACGCTGTAGACGTGGAGAGGCTGCTCCCCAGACCTCTAATGCCATCAAATTCACATTAACACATTTTACAACTCAACTGAAACTAAAATTAGTTTTAATACACTCATATAATAAACGCCTAAAATTAAAGTGTCAGCAGTTGTCAGGGCTCATATTCATAAAGCTTCTCAGAGCAGATGCGCTGATCTAGGATCTGTCCCTGTCAGCAAATAAGAGGAGAATCTGATCCTCCTGTTCTGAGAAGCTTCACGAATAAGAGCCCAGATCTCATATTAAACTCAGTCTCAATCTCAAACTCACCTTTAAGGAACACTTCACTGCTGGGCTTCCCTGCCAGATCCTGACACAGCTGCAAGCTAGAAGCCAAACACAGGACATACATATATAAGCAGGACTTGTATCATTAAAAACACATGATTTCAAAGCACTGTATGCATACAGATGTTAGTCAACACCAATATTTACAGGAAATAATAACTCCTTCATATGCTTGTGGAACGTGAAATAGAGTTCCCACATTGTCAGTGCCGCCAAAACGTGCTGTGGTGGTGCTATTTAATGCCTGTATAACAGGTTAGATGTTTCTGAGTGACTTAAAACTTAGAGGAGCCCAACAACTAGTCCTGGGTTCGAGCCACACTTCCTTCACCATCTTCAAACTTAGTTTATTGATCATTTTCGTTGAGAAAAGGCGCTGGCAAGCGATCTTCCACGCGTTCCACCAACACCCAAAGGCCGAAGAGTTGTTGCCATTTTCTGTACAGGACGGATATCTGAATTCAGAGCAACTAACAATCCACAAAACATTACAGATCCAGGATCAGCCAGTGAAATAGGACTAAGACTGGCTATCAGCGGCTAATTAACGCGCCCTGCTGAACCTGTTGGCGGGGAACAAACTGCCATCTTCCGAACTAGAACACAGAGCTGGGTTAGCTGGTTAGCTTAGCTTGGCGCTAACCGCGTTATGAAATGGCAAAAAACAGTTCGACGTTTAAAAAGATATAGAAAAATAAATCTTTAAAATCAATGGATTCTGCTGATGAAAATGTATTTTTGCTACTCCGTCTTATCACCCGGCTTAGGTTAGCACTCTGCTTTATTGTCGACGAACTCTTTCTAAGTTTGATCGGCTGTTTGTGTTTCTGAGGTGGGTTAGTTTCATTAGGGACCGTCGGTCATCAGTAAACACAGCGATCTCACACAACCAGCCAGCCAAGCTGCGAATAAACACTGAAGTCGATGGATTTACGGGTTTTAGAAGCGGCTGAAGACCACAACGTAACGTTACCACCACAACCTGCTCTCTCTGTCCGAGAACTGCCGCAGCTTAGCCGCCGTTAGCGGCAACTCCGTTCGGCTAACACGGCTAAGGTTAGGTAGCCGCCGACCGCCGCCGGCGCCGCTAACGTCACCGCTGTGGCACTAATTCGAGTTGTGCTCGTTAATTACAGCGTCTATAACCTCGTACACACCGTAGAGCTGGCTCCAGCTAACGAGCCGGCCGTTTACATGTAGTGTGGTTAATGTAGCGCCAGTTAGCCTGCTGGCTAATGCTAACGGACTCGGCAGCGGGCGAACCGGAGAAAAACCCCGGGGTGACAATGAAGAAAGCACCGCTGCCCCGAGATCGACTGAGCAGCGACGCCTGATAATCTCTGAAAAGAGAACAAACGCGGGACGAAACCTGTTTCGGCCTGGCTGGTTAAAAAAATCAGACTCACAAATCATTTTTGCCGGATTTTTCCCAGTTTTTGATCCAGTCAGTAGGGAGGACCGACGCCGCCATCTTCCCCACCACAACCGCGCTCCGCCCGGATGTTGAGCGGCACAGAGCCGGGTCAGCGGAGCAGTATAAGAGCGGGCATGCCGGGATGCCGGAGGATGGGGCGGTTAGGCTAAACAGCTCTCCTAAATCCAAAAGATGCTTTTATTGGTCAGATATGTACGGAGCCCCGCTGGTGACATCCTGTGTAAATAATAATAATGCGTGGCCACGACTTAGTAAGGCGTGGGAATGAAATGATTATGTCGTGGCCACGACTTAGTAAGCCGTGATCTCATTTCCACGCCTTACTAAGTCGTAGCCACGGATTAGGATCTCGTTCCCACGTGTTAATACGGAGCCCCGTTGGTGACATCCTCTATAAATAAAAATAATGTGGTTATTATTTTACACGCCTTATTAACGCGTGGGAACGAGATCCTAATGCATGGCCACGACTTAGTAAGGCGTGGGAATGAGATGATTAAGTCGTGGCCACGCATTAGGATCTCATTCCCATGCTTTGGTAAGTCGTGGCCATGACTTAATCATCTCATTCCCACACATTATTTTTATTTATACAGGATGTCACCAGCGGGGGAAACATATCCTACGGAGCCCCGCTGGTGACATCCCGTATAAATAAAAATTATGTGTGGCTACACCTTATTAATGCGTGGGAACAAGATCCTAATGCGTGGCCATGACTTAGTAAGGCGTGGGAATGAGATGATTAAGTTGTGGCCATGACGTAGTAAGGCGTGGGAACGAAATCACGGCTTACCAAGTCGTGGCCATGCATTAGGATCTCGTTCCCACGCTTTACTAAGTCGTGGCCACACATTATTTTTATTTACACACATTTTTATTTACGATGTCACCAGCGAGGCTCCAGTGGTGGACGAAGTACACAAACCATGTACTTGAGTTAAAGTAGAGACACCCAAGGTAAAATATTACTCCAGTAAAAGTAGAAGTTCCTCCCTTTAGACCTCCACTTGAGTAAAAGTACAAAAGTATTTGCCCTCAAATGTACTTAAGATCAAAAGTGAAAGTACTAAAAGATTAATTATGACTTTAATGTCCTATTATCGTTTTTGTAACAAGACTCTCTTCATTAACTCAGTTTAGGTGAAAATACTCCAGTGTCGCTCTTGGTAAACCAGTCTTTTAATAGAGTCATTAATTAGTGACGCTGATGTCTATTAAAATTATCATAAGCACAAAACACTGAAGGCGAACAGTTTCCATCAGGTAGAACTGAGTGGCTCTGAAATCACTTTTACAAACAAGCAAAGTTTCAGTTTAAGATTTATTTACAACTTTAGTTACAAGTTTAAGTTTAATAAAAACTTTAAACTCAGATTCACAAATGAGTTTCCTTTACTAAACTGCATCTGTAGGTCTCTGTTCATAAACATAAACTAGCCAAAACTAATTTACTATAAAATGAAAGTGTTTGTATAAATTCAGAATAAAGACACGTCAGTCTCAACTGCATATGAGTACATATTTCTATATTGTGGTCTATTTACACAAAGTTAGGTTAGATCATCATTTATGTTGAATATACTCTCCCAAAATTTTACGGTGCTGCACTGATGTTGAACCGTGTGCTGCACTGGGTCGGTATGACCAACAGGTCAAAACAAGCTCAAAACAAAGTGACCGCTGTGCCCTGATTGGTGTTTTGCTTTGCACTTCTTTCGTTTTGACGTGTTACATTTTTATACACACATAAACCAAAAGGAACGACAGATTTCTCATAATGTAGTGGAGTAAAAAGTGAGATATTTGACTTTGAAATGTAGTGGAGTGAAAGTGAAAAGTGGTCCAAAATGGAAAAACTTCAGTAAAGTACAGATACACGAAAAAGCTACTGAAAAAAACACAACAGGGATATTTGCCGGCTGTTTCAAAGAGATGTCACTTCCATTTCTTATGCAGTTACATATTGGAATTCTCTTGTAAAAAATCCTGACTGGAAATATATTTGAACCTGTATATTTTGGTTAGTCCATCTGAATTTACATGACCAAATTATAAGGCAAATTATTCAGTAACTGCATGAAATAACTGTACATTTTTTTATTTTATTTATTTATTTATTTTTTGTAAAAGCTCCCCTCAAATTAGCAGAACATGTATTTTATGATCATACACATATTGCTATATGCTTACAATTTACTGCTCCCAACTTTGTGGGAACAGTTTGGGGACGGCCCCTTCCTGTTCCAACATGACTGTGCACCAGTCATATTAAACCCTATGGACTAAGAATGGGATGTCACTCAAGTTCATATGAGTGTGAAGGCAGACGAGTGAATACTTTTGGCAATGTAATGTATACATATATGTATATACACACATGGACTGGCGATCTGTCCAGGGTGTATCCTGCCTTCTGCCCAATGACAGCTGGGCTAGGCTCCAGCACCCCACCGCGACCCAGAAGGATAAGCGGTGTAGATGATGTATGTATGTATATATATTTATATATATAAACGTTGTGGAAAGCCTTCCCAGAAGAGTTGAAGCTGTTATAGCTGCAAAGGGTGGGCCGACATCATATTAAACCCTATGGATTAAGAATGGGATGTCACTCAAGTTCATATGCGTGTGAAGGCAGACGAGCGAATACTTTTGGCAATATAGTGTGTATATATACATATATATGTATATATATACACATACATATATATATATATACATATATAGATCACGGACACACACATGGACTGGCGACCTGTCCAGGGTGTATCCAGCTTTCAGCCCAATGACAGCTGGGATAGGCTCCATCACCCCACCGCGACCCAGAAGGATAAGCGGTGTGTGTGTTTGTGTGTATTTTTTCCCAGATTTAGCACCATTTTGGTCATTGTTAGCATTACAAATAAACATTCAGGAGAGAAGTGTAGGCGCACCATTTCACATCAGGCCACTCTCACCGAATGACCTCTATCATTGGTTGGAAAAATCAGAGTGAAGACACACAGGACTTTTATTTTGAAATGTATCCCCAACCATCAGCAGAAGCCCAGACAGCCAATAGGAAAGTTACAGAGAGTTTCCTGCCCCGCAGTCGCCGCTCAGTCGCCTCTGCTCAGAAATGCTTCCTAAACTTTTAGTAGCCGTTTCTCTGGCCGCGTTGTTTTATGGAGCGCCATCAGACGCGCAGAAGAAGAAGGAGGTCAGTGAGTTTTCGAGTCCTGTCCGAGTCCTGTCCGCGTGCGCGCAGACCTGCTGTTAATCTAGTTACCTGGCCGAGCCGGAGAGGGGCAGCTATGCTAAGCTAAGCTAATGTAACCCAGCCCAGGTAGTCGGAGATGCTGCTGTTCGGTCTAAGATAATATTCGGATATACAGCGTCATATTCCTAATAACGTCGCTCATAAATATCAGACAAATATGAGGGATTTAAATCCTTTAAATCCGGCTGTTTTTAAGCTGGTAGGCTAATGTAGCCTAGCCTGGGTTTGAGGTAGGTAGGTTAGTTAATCAGCAGACCGTCAATGGAAAATAAGGCATGTTTAGTTTTCCTGGTTTTCATTCTGACAGCCTGGAAACCGACAACAAAATTAGCAGAGGTGGACGAAGAACACAAACCATGTACTTGAGTTAAAGTAGAGACACCCAAGGTAAAATATTACTCCAGTAAAAGTAGAAGTTCCTCCCTTTAGACCTCCACTTGAGTAAAAGTACTAAAGTATTCAGCTTCAAATGTACTTAAGTATCAAAAGTAAAAGTACTAATAGATTAATTATGGCTTTAATGTCCTATTATCATTTTTATAACGAGACTCACTTCATTAACTCATTTTAGGTGAAAATACTCCAGTGTCTCTCTTGGTAAACCAGTCTTTTAATAGAGTCATTAATTAGTGATGCTGATGTCTATTAAAATTATCATCAGCACAAAACACTGAAGGCAAACAGTTTCCATCAGGTAGAACTGAGTGGCTCTGAAATCACTTTTACAAACAAGCAAAGTTTCAGTTTAAGACTTATTTGCAACTTTAGTTACAAGTTTAAGTTTAATAAAAACTTTAAACTCAGATTCACAAATGAGTTTCCTTTACTAAACTGCATCTGTAGGTCTCTGTTCATAAACATAAACCAGCCTAAACTAATTTACTATAAAATGAAATATTGTTTGTATAAATTCAGAAAAAAGACACGTCAGTCACAACTGCATATGTGTACATATTTCTATATTGTGGTCTATTTACACAAAGTTAGGTTAGTTCATCCCAAAGTTTTACGCTGCTGCACTGATGTTGAACCGTGTGCTGCACTGGGTCGGTATGACCAACAGGTCAAAACAAGCTCAGAACAAAGTGACCGCTGTGCCCTGATTGGTGTTCTTGCTTTGTGCTTCTTTTGTTTTGACATGTTACGTTTTTATACACACATAAACCAAAAGGAACGACAGATTTCTCATAATGAGGGGAGAGAAAATTAAGATATTTGAAGTTGAATTGTAGTGGAGTGAAAGTAAAAACTGGTCCAAAATGGAGATGCTTCAGTAAAGTACAGATACACGAAAAACTACTTAAGTACAGTAACGAATTACATTTACTTCATTACTGTCCACCACTGGAAATTACTATGGACACTTCATATTCAGCATCTAACTGAAAAATGAAATAATATTAAATGCTGCCAACCCCATGTTTGGAGAGAATTTGTGTGGAAGTGTGTTACTCGATTTTTTACTACCCCGAAGCCAAAACCTGTGGAAAATCAGGGATGTTGGAGGATGTGTAGGAAGCCAGGCACTGGCATGTGATTTGGGAATGCTCAATATTAGGACATTTTTGGACAGAAGTTGCACAAAGTACTGAAAAATATATTTAGTTTAGAATTTCCCTGTAAATTTGATGAACTTTTTGACGAATATTTATGGGATATTCTATTAATTGCAAGTAAAAAAGTTGTAACAAGGAAGCGGCTGTGTCCTGAACACCCCACCCCCCCACTGGATGACTGGATAAACCTGGTCAATGAAATATATCTAAAGGAAAAAATGACCTTTTCTATTAGACTGAAGATGACAAAATTTGTAAA